TAAGGGTACGTTTGCCATTAGAAGGGACTTATTAATTCCCCTTTCGATAGGCAGACCGAGGAGGCCATAAATTCACATCGACCAAAGGGATGACCAATTTCAGAACATTTACGAGCCACAAATTACGCGACCGCTGAAATATACTGGACTGAGGACGGCACACAACGAAGCTGGAGAAGAAAAACTCAAATGTTGAGTTAAAATTGCTTAATCTTTTAGATAGAATAAATCATCTTCGCTCTACGCAAATGAAGATCGCACAAAATTTATTTAGAGTAAATGAGTCAAACAAATTGACTTTGAATTGATAGTCGTTTGGTAAAGCTTACAGTTAGACTTTTTGTAGAAACGTTTTAACTTCAGTAGTATTTTTATTTTAATGTTCAATATTAAAATTTCTGTAGTATTATAGTGTATGTATTCTTTTATTATCAATTAAAAATATTACATTTAAACTTGCACGTTACAAGTTGGTCAAAAAGGGAAAAACAAAATATACAGCAAGTTTATGACTTTAATGATACTTTTATATGTTCACATCAATATATGAAATCCAGTTGGTAACGTTGTGCGAGCTAACTGTTTTATCACTTTATTGCATGAGATCGCATAAACTTGCGAAGGCAGAGGTAATAAAATGTTACCATAGTGATATTTTCGGTACAGAATTGGTCGTAGATAATATTAAATGGCAAGGCAAATATATTTTAGGAGATTGTTCTAAAAGCATTAAATACATTGAAAATACAAAAAGAAAAGTTTTTAAATATTACATTTTGTTAATGAAACAAAACTATAAAGGCCAAATATTTTTACAGTTCTACCATCTGAATATTTTAATGCAGTCATTGTTCATTAAACATTGGGTACTTCACGAGGGAATTGTATACACGTTAATTTTTGAACACATAAACGAATTGAAAAATAATTAGTTTTTCTACGTTCTACAAGAATTGGAATAATTTACCAGCGTCTGATTTTATACTCGATTATTTTTTTTATAGTATTGGGTGACAAACGAGCACACAGTCTACCTGATGGTAAGTAGCTGCTGTGGCCCATAGAAATCTACATTTATCCTCGTTTGCGAATCAAAATGCAGATGCGTTGCCACCCGTGAGGACTAAGATGGAATGCCTCGTTTCCAGTAAAAAGGGTCTCCGGTTCTCTACACTCACCATACAAAACACAGCAGTGTTAAGCTGCTATTTGACGCTGGTATTCTGTGAGAGCGTGGTCCTTCCCCGGTTGAGCCGACCCATTCGTGCTACAACTATACTATTAATATAACTGCAGGATGGCTCTACCACGTACAAAACGATATAACTTATGTCAAAGTAAAAGTGAAAAAAGTCTATCCTTTTGAAAAGATGGATCAATGCACTTTACTTCTAGGCCATAATAATCACTTATCATTTGAATATGAACTGTGTTATTTGACTTAATAATTACTAACGTAATAGGGTACTTCCATACGCGACCACAATCAGAATTCTCTTTATCATACGATAACTTTGACACTATTGCAGTCGCCGGTCTTGGGTTTTCATTTAATGTTAAAATGAGATCAAACACAAGATCTTAAAGTCCTACCTATGCGATATTTTTAAAGATGGGGTGGAATTACGAAATCCACAAATGTAATAATATACACAATCACAAATATACGTAAAGACTTTGTCATCTTTTTCATTACAAACTATAAAAGTCCACTGCTCAAAATAGGCCTCTCCCCATTGATTCCCTCTTGAAAGGAATTTTGCCATAGTTGCCACGCCTGGCAGGCGTTTTGGCAGCCGAATTTTTTTAAACATTTCAAAATAGCTTATTTAAATTATTTAAACTACAAATTTTTGTACAATTGAAGAAAATTAAATATAGTATTTAGATAAATTGCTAATATGAAAGTTAAATTAAAAATTAATATTCTTTATTCGGAATTGCCATTTGCAGCAACTATCCTTCTCTAACTCACTTATTTTCCGTATACAAGCGAGGAAGTCAATTTCCGAGTTGCAAATGAGTCTGCAAGCCGGACCCACAGTATCTCTGTCATGGCTACCCGCACGTGAAAATTAGATTTCATTAGCTTTGCTGTATAAAACCGGCGCGTAGTTCAACGCGGGTTGCATACCTTTTTTAAAAAAAGAAATAGCGTTGTTGCACCACCCTAAGGCCGTTAAATGAACTTTATTTAATAATATTAACATAACATTTTGTTCGTGGGTTACAAAATTTTAACCGAATACAAAAAGACGATGATGAAATGAAATGATATTCGATGCGAATATATTTTTGTATATAATGTGATTACAGGCGCAGACACATACGGAAAAATAAACATTTTAAAAATAGTTGTTTATGTTTTAAAAGCCTGAAAATTACCACCTGAGCATAATAAAAGCCAGTTATTATAATACAGCCACTAAATATAGAAAAAAGCCAGTTAAAAAAATTATAGAATAAATTCATATAAACCTAGATAGCTTCTGAAATTGGGGCTTTAATTCCTAGATATAGTTTGTCTTAGAACCGACTATTATGTTTCTGTTATTTCATTATTTTTAGTTTTTAATATATTAGCTATATACATAGATCATAGCCCATAGACAGATCTACATTTATCCTCGTTTGCGAATTAAAATGCAGATGCGTTATCAGCCTTGAGAACTAAGATGGAATGCCTCTTTTCCAGTAAAAAGGGTCTCCGATTCTCCACACTCACTATACGAAACAGAACAGCATTAAGCTGTTTTTTTACGCTGATACTCAGTGAGAGCGTGGTCCTTTCCCGGTCGAGTCGACCCATTCGTGCTAAAACTAGACTATAAATATAGCTGCAGCATGGCTCTACCACGTATAGAAAATTGTTAATATTATATATTAATGACATATCTGACCCGACAAGTCATGAATGTATCACATACGCTGATGACATTTCGGTTATAGTTAGGACTAAAAAAATATGAATTTAATAAATATTATATATATATATATATATATATATATATATATATATATATATATATATATATATATATATATATATGTGTGTATTTGATAAGATAATTGAATGGCTACAAGCTAACAATTTAAAAATTAACTTAGTAAAATCAAATTTTATTCAGTTTCATAAGTCAGAAAATACAATTAAATACAATACAATACAATACAATTTCAAGCTAAACTTAACAAAAATCAATCAAATAGAAAATCCAAAATTTTTAAGTGTTCTTATAGACCAGATTCTGAACTGGAAAGCACATATCAATGAAGTTTGTAATAAAGTAAACAAATTTTCATTCATAAAAACGTCTGTTATGACTTTTCGAGTTTATGCAGAGTCTATACTCCGTTATGGAATGGTGATGTGGGGAAATAGTTCGGATTGGAGTCGGGCATTTCTTGCGCAGAAAAATTGCATTAGGGTAATCTGCGAAATACGACCTGATGAATCGTGCCAGCCTCTATTTAAAGGTCTTGGATTTTAGCCACTACCAACAATATATATTTTTGAAATTTGTATTTTTGTGGAGAGACCAAAGACTTTTAAGTAGTTACCTATATATTTAAATCTCTTTGGGAGAGACACAAACAATTATTTGAAAAAGCTTGTGAGGTACAGACTACTCGCTCACGTAGGAACCCACACAAGCTAGTACTTAAGGAGGTATATCCTAAATCACAAAATATAGCAAAATGTTGCCTTACCACGTGTGTCCGAATATATAACAAACTTCCTGATGTACTTAAAACCTTAAATATTACATTGTTCAATAATTGAAAATTAAAAATTTTGTACAGCCGACTTCTATATAAGTTATTAAGAATAACTGAAATAACTCAAAAACTATTGGTCTGACCTTGATCAAATTCATATGGGACTACACGAGAAGTATCAGCTTTCATATAAAAAAAGAATCATCGAAATCGGTCTACCCAGTAAAAAGTTATGATGTAACACACATAAAAAAAAACATACGCGTCGAATTGAGTACCGTCTCCTTTTTGGAAGTCGGCAGAAAAGAAATTGTACAAATGGCTCAATGAAAATAATTTCATAATAAAAAAAATAATATAATAATACCATGTGTATTGGATAGTATTTATTATAAAAAATTAAATTTATATAAATTTTAGTTACAGTATTGTAACAATATATATTTAATTAAGTTGTATGACTTTTTCCTTGGTATTGAAATTGACAATGCTCAGAATTTGCATTTAACTAATTTTTATAATATTATTTCTCTATATTCTATTTTAGCTAAATCAGGTGACTAATTTATTAATATTTACACGAGGCATCCTTAGGTGAAGTAGACTCTGCGGAGGCTGGCCGCTAAGTGAGCGGCGATCCGTTTCGCCTCGTTTAGAGGCGAAACACGTGTCGTATTTTCGAGGGTGGTGTGTCATGCCTAGTGTGGTGGTGCTGGGGGTGGTAGTGCTGGGATTGACGGCGACGGGTATAGTGCGCGCGATTGAGGGAGGGTGGGAGGTGAGGTCCCCTTAAAACTGGGTAGGACACATCATTTTCTTTCTTTAGGCGGAATTAAGCAAATTAGTTTATAACAACCCCATTATGATGGATTTCTGCAAAATATCGCCTCATTCTTTTAATAATCTCTGGTATGTCTAATTGTCACTTAAAATAGTCTCCGGTTGTCGTCAATCACCATCCGTAATCTTGCAAACATGTTCAAGCTGGTATTCTGTGAGAGTTTAGCCCTTTCGGTCGATCCAACCCGTTTAAGTTGCAAACACAATACTTCAGCTTCAGTTTGACTTTATCATGTAAACATAAGCTTATGTCTGCTATCTACTAAGTAACTCTGTTTTTAAATAATTTATTTTTAATTTATAATACTTTTTTTTCTTAATAGCTACTATATAGCAGCAGTTAAACACAATTATAGAAAACTCCGGACAAAATGATCTTATCCTTAGATTTAAAAAAATACATCTTAAAAATAGGGCATAAATTAATATGTCTTTCTTACCTTTAATGAAGTCTCATCATGTCGCGTATCTCTCAAAAGATCGTAAAGAATACATAGTGGCACAACCATTATTCCCGGCTCCTTACAAAGGGTTGCAGCAGTAGCAAACAAAAGTGTTCCTGCTAGTGTAAACCACTGCAAAAGTTCATAGGAATGTACACTCACTATGTTCTTGCACTGACACTTTTTAAACTTCACAGTTCCCGGATTAATTTCGCACTTACTGAGAACTTGACTAGGAATTTTACTAAACCTTAACAATTTTCGAAATATCATAATAATTTGTTCCATAAATCCATTGTAACTGAATCCTAAAATGTGAACCGTAATTGACATTGGCTGATTTGATAAACTGTCTTTTGAGTTATGCCGGCACGTTTTCCTTTGGTGTTCGTTGCGCAGTCTTGAGTGCTCGCAGTAAAGTAAAAAACTCAAAAGGAAAAAATTACATGCTGCTAAATCTGCCCGACCAACAATCCCGGCTACAGCTTCTGTGTGTATTGGGTGTGCCGCAAAACTTAGGCCCGCTACGGCACTACCTACACGCATACAATATGTTGGCATTAGACGGCGAGCTGTTGTGACTACTAGTGCTGTTGCTATGGTGTGGAACAATACGTTGAGAAAGTGATAGCTCCATGGCTTGAATCCACTCAGGGCGTAATTCAGTCGATATGAGGCTACACATAAAGGCCTGTAGGATCCATGTGAACCAGGATCCGTGAGCGGTGTTCCCCAGAAATCGTTTTCAAACAAAGCCTTTATTGAAGTATGTCCGATGACGTCCGGGTTGGAGAGGATCGCCCGTCTGTGAAATAAAATTGCAGCTTTAGATCCATTTTATTCAAAAACAATTTACAAATTCAACATACATTGACAAGTAAGCTTGGGTTTTATTTGATATATCATTATAAGTAAACGTTGTTTATTTTATCGTAAAAACGTCTGACTTTATGAATGAATCATTTTCTGTTTCAAATCCGACAAGGCTTTTAAAAAAAAACAAAATAGTGTGTAAATATGTATGTGTATATGTGTATGTATATATACATTATGAATTTTAATTAAAAAAAATACTTTTACCGTTAATAATCCCTAAGCTTAAACAGAAAATTCGAGGTTATTTTTTCAATGTTCCATAATAGCGACAGCCGTTATGAAAATCCGTTGCATTCGGTCTGAAAGTATTTAAGCAATGAGTATGCCTGCGGCTCACGTTCTCGTATATTTTCCGTAGCGTTGATTAAAAAACTTTGTGTTCAATGTTTGTTCCAAAGCTAACATTTAGTTATTCCACTTAAAAGCAAATAAACACATTTTGCTGATAGAGTGAAACATCTGCAGTGCATAACTTCGTTGATATTAAACTCATATATCTAATAGAAATAATATCTAACGTGATAATTAAGTCTCATTCTTTTTCTTCACCAGCTCGTAAAAGTCCACTGCTTGACATGTGTCATTAAATCCATGTCGGAGTATTTGTCGTTTGGTGGTGGAATAATAGAATCTATTTCGTCCCGTGAGTGTCGTGAGAGTTGACTAAGTGATATCCTAAAAGATTTCATGGTCTCCAATAGATAGGGCTAGCTATCTGGTTTACGCCAGACGTAAAGAAACCAAGACCAGCGACGGGGAAATGCGTCAAGGTTGCGAGACGTCTGAATCTGCGATCATCAGTCCGCCTACCAAGCGTGACATTCAAGGCTAATATAATAATAATATGGGGTCTATAACAATCAATCATTATGTAATGTATTTTTAAAAACAACAGAGTTAAAGTTTTTTTTGTTTGCTTTTTCAATTTGATAAAATTAGGAAAATTCATGTATAATATCGAAATCTAAATTTTATTTATTCCATAATTTAAAGAAAAAAAAATCGTGAAAGGTATGACAATTTGCAAATATTCCCCCAATCGCCTTACGCTATCGCAGCACCCACATTTAATGCCTACCTCATCTCTTTATCTACTGATCCCTCATATATTTTATCCCTTCATCTTAGATTTGAAGTGGAGATCCAGTGAAAAAGACGATTGAATAATATATTTTTATAGAACCAAAACGGTGCTTACTATGCAAAGAAGAAAAATCATTTCTACAATTCGGCCATTGTATTGCAAATTGTCAAGCATTTTCTCCATTCACGTATTAACATAAAAACGATCTACATATACACCTATTTTTTTCTCCAAGGATATTTATATAAAGATCCATTATTTTAAATAGTTTTTTTTTTATTTCAAAAATTTTTGGTAATATTTTAATCATACAATAAAAGTAATATCAATTATATTCGTCCCGTGATGTGTAATGCAGAATATACGTATCTATCAAAATACTCATTAAGAAATACCTACCTATGTGATGCAATCAAATATAACAGATAATTTTGGAACAAAGCAAATATTTAGGTGCAAGATTAACTGTTATATTTGATTACGAAGTAGTATTCGTGAAAGGCTCCTTTATTTATTTTAATTACCTTGTCAAATATATTATTTTTTAATTTTCGTTAAAACTATTATTATCAGAGTAAACTAAAACTTAAATTGAGATGAAGTTGGCGCATGGCATAACTTTTTCTAATGAAAGTTGGAGCCAGCTGTCGCGTAAAGTCGTCACGTAAGCCCTCAATTACGAAACACTGAAGTGGTTTGCAGCGCGCTCCAATCTCTAGCAAAGTTCGTCCATTCTTTCATCATTATCGTATGTTATATGTGTAAGATAATATAACAATCAAAACGAGAAAAAGCGTGTGTCTTTACTTCTTACTGATTTCAACGAGTTATTTAGTGACTTCTATTTGCTTTAAGTGTCAACAAGTTTAATATAGAAAAAATTGAATATTATATTTTACGTAGTTCGGAGTGAAATTATTACATATAAACTTATCCGAATTCCGCGCATGTAATTCTACAGGGACGTCTCAAATTTATCGTGTGCGATGAGAAACGAAAAATTAAGTCGAAGCTATTGTAATTTTCAATGTTGGCGTAATTCGGCGGTTTTCCTTCAATAATCCCATGACATTATTGGCTTTAGTCTCTGTTCATCCACTGGATTCTGGAAGCTGTGAAATCCAAAATGATATGTCCATTTGAGTATCTATACACCTTTGATATAACATGTCATCAGTGCTGCATCTATGTGAAGACGGAACTCAATTTCATATGTAACACATGTTTTACTTGGTAACAAACACAGTGGATATTAAAGATAAGCGCACGGCGGAAGAATATTATAAACAATTGGTACATAATATTATTGGCCAACAGAGAATGCCGCCCATTGTCTGAAGAATATTATAGTAAATAAATTTGAATTTGGAATATCAAGTCAAATGAAGATGTTAAACTTCAAACTAGGCAGTTGGTAATTTCATGGGTATGGAATAAATATAATGATTTACTTTTGCTAGTAAATTGATACCGAAAGCAGAATCACACACATTCGACAATCATTTTTAGATTGTTTGTCGACTTATGTCTAAATTGGGGATTCAAATAAAATATAAAAACTTATTTAGGTTTTTAATTTTTTATAAGAATAAAGTGACAAAAGAAAGAAAAGTCCAGATGCTGGTAAGTGGCTTCTGCGTTTCAAACGCATGCAGATTACTTCAAACAAAAAAGGATACAGTGTCTCACAATCTGGAATTATGCTATCTCTCCGTGCTTTTCAAACGGGAGAGCAACAGTAAGTGTCGTCGAAATTCAGGTAAGAGGTTAGCCTACTTGCATAGACATCTAGTTAGAAATTAATGGCATGATTCCGAGATGATAATATAAAAACCGTTTTCATAACTAAAAAAAAAATAATCAGTCTAAGAAGACAAATTTACCTGACATGATTACCAATATTTTTATGATGTGTTATTTTATTGCTTCATAAGCCGTTGAGAAACCACCTAGGTTGTAGTAGGTCCATCCGAAAATGCCTTACACAAAACCTGGTGACTGGTGATGATAAACAGAATTACCAGTGCAATATCACTTAGCACTTAGGTACCTACCCAGTGCTGAGTAAATATTGGTTGCCTTCTTGGTCCAGTATTCGTTAGCCCTACTGCTGATCTTGTGATCCCGGGTTCGAATTGAAAATCTGACCAAAATCATTTGTCGGGTTCTTGCGTCGAAAATTGTCAGTAGCCTAGAAGTTGGCAGTGTTTCACCATGAATAGCCTATGGTCTTACTCTCAATCTCTCTCCGATCGTGTCGAATTCCATCAGATTATGAGAGTGCAGCTTTTTTCCTTAAGGATCTATATATTTACCTAGAGTTCCGTTTTTATAAAGACTGGTAAAGAAGAAAGTACGCCAAACCTTACCAATTATCCAAGCTAATGAATTGAAAATATTTGTGAGGAATGTAAAATGTTGTGCGTTAGCGATTTGAATAAAAAAAAAACCTTCGAATAACTTTGTTTAATAAATTGCTGATTCAGGCGTGATTTTCAACGAAACGACGTGATGAGATTAAATTACGTGAATAAGATTACGAAGAACCATGACAAAATTTTCTTATAATCGAAATTTATTATCCGATTTTAACATGAATATAAAATTAAGATTTATATTTTATCAAAACTGTATTAAAGTTGTTGTATAATGAAATATAAAATAAATACGTACTTATATAATAATCACTAAATATTAATATAATTTTATTCCCCTTAGTGGTCCTTTCTATTTTATTTTTGCATTATTGATTACTTTTTGTAATCGCATACTTAGTTTGGAGGGCTTTCATAATATTGCTTTAATGCTCCCTCTCTCCTGATATAAAAGTGCCTTTATCCTTTTCACTAGTGAATACTCGCCTGAAGTGGGCTCTTACTGTAAGCATAAGAAAGTGACTGCAAGGCTTCCTAGAGACGATTTAACATAGTCTGATTGTTACATAAGTAAGCATTTTATTAAAGTATAATATTATCTCATGTTACTTATAAACCTCCGTAATAGGGAACAATTCAGTAGTAGCTCTGCATGTGACTGAATATTTAAGTCAAGCATACATGTTAAATATTATTTGGGTGTAAGTATTGACAATCACATGAGATGAAGCTCGCACCTAAATGTAATAGTGGGTCATATAATGAAAGTTATAAATTTTATGAAATGCCTCCATTTTGATGAACACAAACTTTTTGTTAATATTTTTAAGTCTTTAGGAGAATGTGCCATCCATTATTTTATCATAGGGAAAGGCAGCTAAATCTCATGTGATAATTGTTGAAAAAGACCACAGAATTTTTTTAAAGTTATTTTAAACACTCTTTTCGCTATTATACTGCAGCATTTTACTACAAAGCCCAAGCAATAAACGTTAGAAAATTATTTATTAAACCAAAATTATACGAAACTTGCATTGTTCAATTCCAAAGTCAGTTGGAAGTGCTTTTCTCGAAGGCAATGTATTGGGTGTACGATTTTTTTAAATGAATATTAATTTTTCATACTATACTATTATTGGCTATAATTTTTAATAATAGAAAATCCTATCAAAATTTAATAACACTTAATTTGTTTTGAATAATCATTCTTGTTTTTTTTTTTTTATATGGAAGTGGTTTTTATCTTACCACTTCTAAAACACAAAGTGTATACATATATTATATAAAAAGCTATAACACCCTACTTCACCTTTTCAGAGGTTGTATTTTCTAAAATACTTTCTTAGTGTGTATCTACGTCGAGAAAAGAGCTTTTAAGCCAAATTTCAAACCAATCGAGCGTATAGTTATGGATATCTTGTGGTGAGTGTGTGTCAGTGATATATGCCACTTTTCTAGATATACAGATAAAATATGTCCAATTACCTGTCATCATATACAAATCCTGCATCTAGCGTGTTGTAATACAGAAGGAATGCTAGCAATGCGCTAGCCGCCGTCATCCACTGATCCATATTGTTGGCTCCGGAAAGTACATCAGCGTTGTTTTAGTTGAAGCACTGTAACAAAAGAAAATTAGTTCTTAAATGGTGGAAGTACAGCAAATAGTTATATATTGGTGTGTTTATTTGTAATTTTTGCGATTTTAATTTCTAATATATGTTATTACTTTAAAGAAAAACAACAAAAATATAATAGTGTATAATATACATCTTTTTAACATGTAGTGGCGGTGTAAGAATATCCACCAACCCATATCATTCCGTGGGTGTCGTAAGAGGCGACAGAGGCAAACAAATCAGAAAATGGACAGCAGCGTCTTCTTAATAACGAATAAAAAAACTGTTGTTGCCTACACGCTTTAAAAGCGTGGCAACTATGGTAAATATGAGGCAATATATGGCGAAGGCTTATGTTCTGCAGGGGAATTTAATAGGCTGCAACGATAAATATTTTTAAAAAAAAAATAAGGTTGATAAACGGGCTCACAGTCCACCTGGTGGTAAGTAGATTGCTATAGCCCATAAACATTTATACTCAATTAGAAATCAAAATGCAGATGCGTTGTCACCCGTAAGGACAAAAATGCAATGTCTTGTGTCAGTAAAAGCATCTCCGGTTCTCTACACTCACCATACGAAACATAATAACATTCACCTGCTACTTTACACTGGTATTCTGTATTCTGTGGTCCTACCCAGGTCGAGCCGACCCATTCATGCTACAACTATAATGTAGCTGCAACGTGGCTCTACCACCAAAAATACCATAATTTTAAATAAGATAAACATATTTAATTCAATTATAATGTTACACATCAGGTCAAAAATTTATGTAGTAAAATTTCATTTTTAGTCAAAAATTATATGTTTATATACAAGAACTGTTATATGGCACCTGCATAGAACATGAACACCATGACTTTCGTGTTAGCGTAACTGACTGTTCAGGAATTGATCGTACCTATTTTTATCACTAATTATTATTTATGAAAAACTAATTGCCTTTTGATATGTTAGACATTTTTTACTCATCTGTTTGATACTGGAAATCTATACATTGTCAGCTGGGTATTTTTTTTATTATTTACTAATAAATTTCACAAATATTTTATTTTGAAAATCCTTCTTATTTGAGAATCTGTTGCAAATTTGCTCACAGCAATGGAGCGCAGTGAACATAATTGTCACTCTATAATATTCTATGGCTATAAGAAAGGTTTAATACTTCAAAAAATTCTACTATTTTTGTGGACTCTGCTTATTCACAAGCTATAGTTCTTAACTGATGTGCGGAGTCCATATAACAAGAGGAAAACTTTCAATAGGAAGCTAAGGTAATCGCTGCTAAACGCGATCAAACAAGAAAATCTTAGAGCAGTCGAAAATACGACCAGAATACTGATGCCTACATACTATGTTGAACTTGTGCAAGAACTGTGTATGGGTGGAGCAGTGATGCAAACCATCATTCACGATTAACTTTCTTTACAGAATAGTTGTTTGAGATGGGTACCTATAAACATACTGATGAGCCGAAACACCATCAAATTGATTGGTGCTAACTCATAATAGTTAAAAGAGTCGAGAAATTCGACGCCGACGAGAAGAATTATCGCTTAGGGTACTGTCTGACAATGAAAGATGGGTATAAAAATATGATTATGAAACTTAACACCAGTAAATGTATGGTGTTTCCAACGATGTGTTATCGTGCATAAAATACATAAAAAAATGAACGCTTCTTGTTTCTGCAAAACAGGTCATATTTCTGCTGTGGTGTTAGAGGATCAAAGAATAATAAATAAGGAGTAACATGACGCAGTTGGTATACCTAAAGCATTTTCAGCTTGGTGTGACAAAAGATATCAGTGCATATCTGTGTCTGAACACTCGAATTTTTAATTCACCCGCCACATTTCACTGACCTAGTTCCTTTTGATTTTTCCTCTTTCCAAAACTCAAAGAAATACTAATAGGAAATAAGCCTGAAATCAAATGAGCACTTACTGCTTATAATTTCGAAATTCCGGAGGTGTCTAAACAAGAATAGTTGAAGGTATTTACCAGGTGGCTTAGACACATGGTTATGTGTATACGTGCTCAAGTAGAATACTTACAAAGGATCGGTACTAGTCATCATCACCATAGGCTGTTCAATGCTGAACTCCCCAAGGAATATCACAAAGCTCGGTCCTGAAGCACCTGCATCTATTGTTGTATTGTATTGTTGTTTTGTATTATGTGTTTTAAAAGTTGAAGATTTGAACTTTCGAGCACTACTTTTTTTTAGTTCAACCCACAAATCATAATTTACCCACATTTCTATCTGCTTGTGCTAGTGTTAAGCACGGGCAAGTAAGTAAGAAAACAAGCCCAAAATTACTTACTTGTGCTAAGTGAGTGACTTTGTGTTTGCTTATACGCAAGATGTATGTTTTGGCCAATTGAGAACCAATACAGTATCGGAAATCGTCACCGTGATATTAGTATCGAGATTGTCACCAACCTCTTACGTTAAGTTACGGAGCTTTGGCCGTACGGCCTACCCTACATACCAAAGCCCATCTTGGAAGGAAGGGCTTCTTGAAAAGGTTAAAATGTAATGTACGTCCTAGTCAGATTTCTTAGTCAACGGTCAAGACGTTGTTAAGAACTTGTCCAAGCCTATGGATACTAAAACCGTATTTCCAGGTGTCTGCTTAAAAATTCACTTCCTGCTACGTAATAATATTAGTAAAATATTCTGCTTGTTATTGGCATATATTAGTCGATAGCACCATTGAAGGGAAATACCACAGAGTGCTTCGGTTACCTTAGATTATTCTTATAAAAATATTCTAAATTTCGTAAAACGTGGGACTTTGGGACATATATGGACTCAATGGAGAACCCATGCTCACATATTATTGCGATCACGTTATGAGAAATATTGTCATTCTTTATTAATAAGTATACTGTCATTCTCAAACGCAGGCCCAATGTATTTAACCTCTCAGTATTGTGTACACATGATACATTTTAGAGGTTATACGCAACATTTAATTTCTCCTTTCTTCTGCCATTAGAAAATCAGACACTCGCCGGGTCTCTCTATCCCTTAAGTGCTAATTACCACGTATTTCAACCAAACAATATCCTCGTTCGTAATACGTGGTATAATTTTCTGGTATCTGTCTTTCCCCCAATTTTCATTACGTTTAATAGAAGTACGCATTATTTGCTATTGCAGAATTTATCTTCAGGTGGTATTGCAGAATAAAAAAAGTAAAAAAAATCTGACGATAAATTTCATTATTAATCAGTGAAGCTTAATATTATGTAAATATTATTATCAAACGAAATCATTTTATCTCTACATAGTATAAAACAAAGTCGCTTCAATTTTCATGCAGTTTTCATCTGTAGACATAATGATTCAATAGAAAGGTTTATTTGTGTAATACATGCATATAATATATAATTCTTCAGTCCGTATGTATGTGACTGAACTTTTAAATGGCTAAAATATTTGTGTGTGTGTGATGAAGTTGATTAGAGAATTGTTTAGATTCACAATTAGACCAAGTAGGTGGCGATGGTGTCTAGATCCAGAAATCAACCGTGCAAAGCCGGGGCGTTTCGCTAGTTTCGTAATAAGACTTGATCAACGATCAAATGACGACTTAATATTCAAACATTCTTAATTTATCTCATGTATCATATATACTTTAGGTGGTTTGTAAATAATGAAATTTAATAAACATTATTCGTGAGTTATTGTCAGGTTATATTTAACAAAGTATGAGAAATCGAAGAAAGAGAAATTTCAAATACAATAAGACTACATTGAGAAAAAGCCAATCCATACAAACGAGTAATATCTTCCTTTCATTTGTAATGGCAGAATGAGCCAATCGCCCAGAGCAAATAAAGCGGAGTTTGTGAAGCGAAAATAGACAAAGAATCAGATACAGGTAAATAATCCCGCATGACTCGGACAGAAGGAGCATTTTCTGTAATATCGAAGTTGAACCGACGAAAGGTCACATAAAATTATTGCTTATGTATGTGTGAAATGTACAGTTAATTGTTATTAAATATAGGCACTTAAATAATTGGGATCTTATATCTTAATAACAAACATTTTACAATTATTACTTACAACAGTCATTCATCTACCACTATATTCATCTTTTTTACGTGGTAGAGCCATGCTGCAGCTATATTACTGGTATATTTGTAGCACGAATGGATCGGCTCGACCGGGGAAAGAGCACGCTGTCAAAGAATACCAGCAGCTTAACGCTGCTCTGTTTCGTATGGTGAGTGTAGAGAACCGGAGACCCTTTTTACTGGAAACCAGGCATTCCATCTGACCTCTCGGGTGGGGCGACGCATCTGCAGTTTCATTCGTAATGGGGGATAGATTTAAATATCTATGGACGACAACAACCACTTGCCATCAGGTGGACTGTGCGCTCGTTTGTCACCCTTGTCCTATTTAAAAAAAAACTCCCCCTTACAGAGTAGTTTTAAATTACTACCTTTTGGTTATATTTAATAAAGAAAAAATCGCATACAGAGAAAAGATATGATGGAAATTAAACGGGAATCTCATATGACAGTGGAACCTAAAAAGGAAGAGGCCATTTTGGATGTATTATAACAACAAACTGTTGCTGGAATCTTGCTATAATTTTTGGCGCTTGGATCTCTATTTATTTCTTAAGAAAAATGTAACCCCCACACTAGTTTATTGTGGAAGCAATTTAGGAATATAAGTTTTACAAACAAATAATACAAAACTTGTTTTACAGATTGTATCGCGTATATTAACTTATTTTATATTCACGACGTTTCAAGTACTTTACAGCACCCATTGTCACGGGGAGGGGGGGACTGAGGTGTTTGATGTCCCAGTTAATCACGGCTACCTTCAGATTAACAATTATTAATTTTTGTTCTGATCTACGCAGTATGAACTTACAGTATCTTGAAGTCTTGCAGTTGTATGCTTGCAGCCATCTTCTCTA